TCGTATATCGAGAATTTAGGATCAGGGATCATGTTAATAGATTTTAGAATTAATCGATTTTTGTATTAAATAGATTCGTTTATTAATAATTTTCTAGTTTAGGTTATTCTTTAATGTTAATTAGACGTCGATGTTATTCGATTTTCCTTCATAATTCGAGAATTTAGGATTGTATTAATCGAGGGATTATGTTAATCGATGAATTTAGATTTGTATTAAATAGATTCGTTTATTAAATTATTAATAATTTTATAGTTTGGTTATGGTTCATGTGATTCTTTAATATTAATTAGACGTCGATGTTACTCGATTTTCCTTTGTAATTCGAGAATTTAGAATTAAATCAGAGATCATGTTAATCGATAAGTTTTAGATTTTTATAGATTTTTATTGAATAGATTCGTTTATTAATAATTTTCTAGTTTGTTGGTTTGTGTGATTTTTTAGTGTATTCGTTTAATGTTAATTAGACATCGATGTTACTCGATTTTCCTTCGTAATTCGAGAATTTAGAATTGTATCAGGGATCATGTTAATCGATAAGTTTAGATTTTTATTGAATAGATTCGTTTATTAATAATTTTTTAGTTTCGATTATTCTTTAATTAGACATCGATGTTATTCGATTTTGCTTCGTGATTCGAGAATTTAAAGTTGCATCAGGGATCATTTTAATGTACAATCGATGAGTTTAGAATTGTATTGAATACAAATTAATATATCATTATAATTTGAATATGTAAAAATAGGATAAGAAAATATTCGTATTCGATAAAATGAAATTCACACGTATCGCGAAAATTTGCGTCGCAATTCTCCGTGGACTCTGCTTCGTAAACAAAACAAAGCCTTGGTCAAATGCGATACGCAAATCGAACAAGAAAAACTGTTTTTGTATACGAAAATTTACAATAACACACGTGTGACTATCTGCGTTCAATCTTTTTGCACATCTTCGAATACATCGTAATAAATCTATAATATCCTTTCGAGGGTCAAAATTTTCAAGGATGAGCGTAATACGAAGCGTCGAGAGAGAAAGAAAGAATCGATCTCGTTTCTTTCCCACACAAAATTTCACGCAACAATTTTACGTAATTATCGATGAATTCGTAAAGGAAAATGAAAGGTGGTTCGCACGTAAAGCGAATACGTCATCGCGTATCCAACAATCGCGAAATGATATCCCTGGCATTATGGAATTGGAGCAGGGGTGGCGCGCAGCCGGCGATTTCAACTATTAGATCGGTCCTTAGAGAGTTTTGGTCGATTTGCAGATTACGAGTCCCCGGGATGCAAGGCTGACATGGCAGAGGGTTCGGCCGAGGAGGAACAGAGCAGTACCGCTGCGCCCGCTTCCCCGCCAGCTGATCTTCGCACTCTGAACACCCAATTGTCGCCGCCTTATCACCACCAGTCCCATCTCCAACCTCGTCTTCAGCATCTGCAGCATCCCAACATGTTGGCGACCGCCGTGCCGCCCAGGCACAGCCACAGTATGCTGTCTCATCAGGTGAAAACGGAAGCCGAGTTGGACGCGCCCTGTGATGTGCCATTGAATCTCAAGAGCGAGGTAAGTCCTCCATGAATCCACTATCTTCTATCCACCTCTCGAGAGAGAGGTGGATTAATGTACCGTGATCGATTAAGATTCGTTCTAATCAACGCGGGAACGGAATTACATTGACGTTAAATAGTCGATTATTAATTAAATTTTAATGATATCCGATGAGTCGTTCGCGTGGATGTCGTTCGACGGACGATCGAAGAAATTTGTTGAAAATTATCGAAGAGGATCGATTGTATTTGGTTTCTTTCATCGAATTTTTCAATTTGAAATTGTGGGTTTTGGAATTCTTCGAGCGGTATAATTAAAGAGGGTGGCTAATCACCGTGATTTATATCATTATTTTTTTTCTTCTTTCTATGTTTTATAGTTATGAGATATCAAGAAGACGTTTTAGGAAATTGAGAAATAGAAACAGCTATTAAAATTTATAGAGTCATTATAAAATTTCATACGATTGGATTCTTCTTTTACAATAGAATTAGAAATCGATAATTTGTGAATTTTAGATTAGATCACTTTTGATTCTTGTCAACGTAAATAGATACAAATATTTTCAAATTATTGGACAAACGAGCTGTATATTTGCACAATTGGGAGCAAATTAATTTCTCAATTCTACTAATTTCGGAGGCAAACAGGAGGATTCTACCCGTGGGCTGGCGTTCCAGATCGTTAATAAGAAAGACCCTCAGTCGAAAGGATCGTCACACTCGTTAGTAACGGTTTTGTGTGTCAATGACAACCAATTGTCTGGTTAAGTAGCTGCCGCGCCGCATCCCAACCTAAATCGGCCAATGGTCTCTCTGACCTGTATACGATTAACGTACAAAACAAAGCGTGTCGAACGACTTCCATGTGGACGGCCGGGGTCAATGTACCAAGCTGATTCTTTCTTTAGAGATTGCACAACGCGTGATACCCGATCATCAATCTGAAATCAAATTGTCCCCCCAAACCTTATATGTCCAAACAATTGAGAAGCTTCCTGGATGAACGTGATTGAAATTGTCTCAGTTATTTTAATTGAATTTACATTTCAAACGTAATGAAAAATTAAGATCGAGGATGAAATAATTATTAATTATTCCGGATAATCTTTTCGTTTCTGAAAAATTTATGAAAAAGATTTATAGGTTACCCTATCTTCTCTGGTAAATCGTTTTTAATTAAGTACAATGTGTCTAATGTACTTAAAGCTATATAAAAGCCAATTCGATTTTGAAAAATTTGTAATTTTAGCTCCATATCTCGACGTGCATTAGACACACGATAAATCAAATATATATATACGATTTACCAGAAAAATATTCTTACATAACAATTTTTCCCAGAAAGCTCCTCGAATCTTCCTCCTTAACCTCAAAGCGCGGAAAAATGATCGTCTCAATGAATGATCACAAATAACCATTTTTACATTTCACATTTGTACGTCATAAAATATTATTTCCACCGAATGGAAACTTCGCCGATCGTAAAATTCCCGAAAAATTTTCACTCGACTTGGACAATTTCTTCTCCCCGTTATACCCGTGTATAAATCGTGTATAAATCGTGCGCAATCTATTCGGGCACGCGATTCGAAATTTCCACGAATCATAGATCACACGATCAGACTCTTAAGCTTCCCCCCGACTTTCTAAGCCCACGTATAGCCGTGTGTGTGTACGTGGCGGGAAGAAAAAGACAAAGGCGTTATCGTTGTGGTTTACACGTTCGTTTACCCATACACTCGCGCCAATCTAATCTCCATACTCGGAGAGAGTACACCGTGGTCCGGGCATTAAGAAGAGAACGAAGCCTGCCGACTCCTTGTGCGTTATTACCTTAAAACTGGCGGAAAAGGTTGCTCCCGTTAGTGGCCGTGGGAAAATATCGTAGCGGATAGAATGTCAAAGTTTCTAACGGGGCTACGTATACACGCCATGTGTAATACCACCACGGTATGCGACTTCTCCACCGCGCGTATATGCGCACGACATTTGCTTAAGCGTTTGCACGAAACACTTCCGCGTTCCACGGCACGGAGTAAAGTCTAATCACGGTTTCCAACCCGCCCCTCCATCCAATAGGCGGCGTCGATCATTTATCAGGCTGTAATCTGTATCGAAGAATCGAGCACTCGATCTTTATTACGACCTCTTGATCTCTTTTTATTCTTTTTATTTTTATTTTTTATTTTATTCTTTTTTTTTTTTTTTTTTT